AAAAAAAAAAAAAAAGGCAGAGGGGGAGAAGAGTAGGGGAAAAAAATAAAAATAATAAAAAGAAAGTGACTGTACAAATGCAAAACTCACTAGGAATCTACCCGCCCTGCCCTGGGCACCAATCCCAGACCCGAGTGGCCGCCGGATGCGTCTCCCGTTACCCCCGGAGCCGGGGGGGAACCTGAGGATCGGGGACGCCGGGGGGTCCGGCCTCGTGTCGCCGATGGGAATTGCAGGGCAGGGGGCTCCGGGGGGGCATCGGAGCCCCCAGAGGAGCTGGGGTCCGTCCGGGAGCTGCTGGATGCTCCGGGCCCTTGGGGAGGGGGCGTTGGGGGCACCCCCAGCCTGGCCGCCCGGGAACACGGGGCCACGGGCAGCAGCTCTGCCTGATTTTGCTGCGGGCCCCGCGGCAACGCCCCGCACCGGGACACCGGACACGGGACGCGGGACACTGGACGCGGGACGCGCCAAACCAGTTTGCTGCGGGAAGCGCCAGGGCCGGATCGGGTGTCAGAGCAGGGCGCAATGTGCCCGAACCAGCCTCGCGCGGGAGGGTCTCCGGGGGAGGGCAGGACAAGCCCTAAACCGGCTTCAACCGCAGCAAAAGCGCCGCGTCCCGCCCGTCCCGCGTCCCCATCCCGCCGCCGGCTCCGCTCCAGGGATCGGGACCGGGACCGGAGCGGGCAGCGGGTCCGAGCAGCGGCCGCCGGTGCCCGGGGCGTCCCTGTCCCCACCTGCGCGGGGGTCCCCGGGAACCGCTGGGAAGCTCCGTGGCCCCGTGGGACCGGCCGGAGCCAGAGCCGGCGCTTCCCGGGAAGGAGCCGCATTGGGAAAAGAAAGGGGAGGTTAGAAGTGCCCGAGCTCCTGTTCCCTGATGAACGCTAATATATATCATCTGCTTGTTAAAGTTCCATTCTTTTTCTTTCTTTTTAGAGAATAAAATAGAAGCTATGTACAACAAAACAATCAAACAACAACCTCTTAAAATCCCATATAGTGAGCGTAGTTCTCAAAATAAAGGGGGAAAAAAAGGATCTAAATGAATAAAATATCTCCCGATTTCCATTTTTTTTTCTTTTTTTTCTCTTTAAAGAGGGCCAGGAGGTTTCATTAAAGCTCGCGTTGGCAGGCGTCCGTACGTCTGTCTGGAGGTAACACGAGTTAAAAAATAATAATAATAATAATAGAGGTACAGTGCAAAGTGTGGTGTGTGTGAGGTAAGGAGCTCAGGGTCGCCGCGCGGCGCCCGGCACGGCGGGCGCTCAGAGCCCAGCGGCCTCTAATGAAACCCCCCGGGGCTAAAGCTTTTCTTCCTGGCAAACGCAAAAGAAACCCAACAAAAGGACACGGACGGGCAGGGAGCCCGAGGGGCCCCGCGGCGGCGCCGCCGGCGCCGGGCGTTAAGGCGAAGGGTTGTTCGAGGTAGAGCTGGGCGGCACCGACACCGCGGGCGCCGCCGCGGGGCCGCCGCTCCGGCCGCCGCTGCCACCCTTGCTGTAGGCAGAGGCCGGGAGCGAGGAGGAGGAGGAGGAGGAGGAGGAGGAGGAGGAGGAGGAAGGGCCTGGCGTCTGGGCGAAGAGCACACCTGGGGAGAGAGGCGAGGGCAGCCGGCGCCGGCGGGAAGGCGCCGTCCCGGCCGCGCGCCCAGCGCTGCCCCTACCTGTGTACACGACGCCGTTGATCTCCACCGACATGCTGATGCTGTTGGTGCCGTTGCTGCCCGCGCTGCCGCCCGGCTCCGGGCGGCTCTCTGCAAAGGGCGCCCGTGAGGAGGTGTCCACGCAGGGACACCGCGGGCGCAGGGAAAGGGGCCGGCTCCCGGGCAAGCGCAGCGCGGCAGTGATAGCCCCGTGCTCCCGGTGCTGCTGCGGGGCGCGTGGGCTCGGCTCTGCCCGGGAATGCCGCACGGAGCCGCAGGACGGCCCGGCCGAGCACCAACCCGTCACCGGAGCCGGGCACGGCCAGCAGCAGCCCCGGTGCCCGCAGGGGCCGGGCGCGCTCCGGGGCAGCGCGAGGCTCCGGGCGCAGCGGGATGGGCACTGACCTGGCGAGCGGGTGCCCTGGCTGTTGATGCGGATGCTCATGGGCAGCTGGGCCGTCATGGCCAGCAGGTTCTGCTGCAGCGCCCGCTGCATCAGCCGCTGCTGCTCGTCCGTCACCAGCGCCAGCTTCTTCTCGGGCGGCTCCCCGGCCTCCAGCTTCTCCCTCAGCTGCTCCAGGGCCACCGCTTGGGCGGCCGCGGCCACCTGCACCGCGGCAGCCTGCGCCGCCACCACGGGGTGGCCGGCCAGCGACACGGGCAGCCGGCTGGGCACGGAGATGGGGATGGGCGAGTCCTCCTCTGCAGGAGAGCGGCGGGGACGGTCACGGCCAGCGGCTGTGCTGGCGGCATCCTGCCCACGGGGAGCCCCCCGTGTCCCGGGACACCCCACGTACTGCCGGCATCCCGCCCACATGGAGCCCCCCATGTCCTGGGACACCCCAGCTGTGTCCTCGCGGAGGGACCCTCCTGCCGGGAGCACCCAGCAAAGCCAGAGCCTGGGGGGCACCTGGGGAGTGAAGGATGGGGAACATCCTCAGGGAAAGGGATGGGGAACATCTGCAGGGAATGGGATTGGGAACATCTGCAAGGAATGGGATCGGGAACATCTGCGCTGGCCTCTGCGGGATCCCTTCCCAAATCCCTCCCCGCGCGCCGGGCGCCGCCACCTTTCTTGATCTTCTGCACGGGAGCGATGGAGCCGCCGTTGGTGGCCGCGGCCAGGCCGAGCGCCGGCACCTGCAGCTTGGGCGAGGAGAGGAGCCCGTGGGTGCCGCCGGGCGAGTAGGTGAAGAGGGAGCCGCCGAAGCCCTGGCGCCGGCCCTCGCGCCGGTTGCTGTCGATGGCCGCCTGCAGCTCGTTGGGGTTGCTCAGCCCCCGCTTCTCACATTCATAGGGGTACAGGTACTTCATGTACCTGCAACGGGGCGCGCTGAGCGCCGTGCCCTGCACCCCGGCCCGCGGCCCGCGCCCCGCCGCCGCGCTCACTGCGTGCGTAGCGTGAAGGCCGCGCTGGTGATGGAGGTGGGCAGGTTGAGGCCCTTGGTGATCTCCCGCCACAGCTTCTTGTTGATGACCTCCACGAGGCCGCCCTTCTCCGTGACCAGCATGTAGAGCATGTAGAGGTCCAGCACCTGCTTGGCCATGATGGGGATGCGGTTGACGGGGGTCCCTGTGGAGCGGGGCAGAGCAGAGCGCAGGGTTGGCGGCGCCGCCTCGGGCAGAGCTGCAACGTCCCCGGGCCGGGGACGCCGGGGACCCCCCGTCCCCTCCCCGCCAGCCCCCTCCCTGCTCCATAGGGTGTTCCCTGGAAGCTGCCACCGCCTGCCCGGGGCTGCGGGCCGTGGTGACACCGGAGCGGTGACACGGGAGCGGTGACACCAGCACGGTGACGCCGGAGCGGTGACACCATGCACGGAGCCCACACACGGGCCGGGAGAGGGCAGCACCTCCCGCGGCTCCGGGCCGCCCTGCCGGAGCTCCGGCCCTCTCCCGTTCTCCTTCCCGTTCCCCTTCCGGGCGGATCCTGGATCCCAGCCCTGCCCGGCGGCTCCCCAGCGCCCGCAGAGCCCCCCGGCCCCGGGACCGGACACTCACCCGGACGGGCGCGCGGGACCGGCCCCATGCGGGTCCCACCACGCGGTAATGAAACGTGCATGCAAGGCACAGGTGCTCACGTGGAAAAATAGGAAACATCCTGTTTTTCGGATAGTTTCCTTTGCCTCTCACGGGCCAACCTTTTCCAAACGCGCTGGGTGCCCCGGAGCTCCACACGAGCCCTTCGAGGGGCAGGAGGCGGCGCAGGGAGCACCCGGCACTCGGTGCTGCAGGATTGGGATCCAGCCCTGCAGCCTCCCCGGGACGGAGCTGCCCGTCCGGCTCTGGAAAGGGGAGCACACGAAGGCTCCGACCCCAGGGGCAGATTTTGCCACCTCGGCAGCAAGGAGAGGGAAGGGCAGCACAGAGTGGGGGTGGGAAGGATGGGCCAGACCCCCCCGAAAGGGCCTGTCCTGCTAGGAAGGGGCAGCGAGTTCCTGCGGCTTTGATAAAATTCAACTCAAAGGGACAAAAAGCAGGGCCAGTGTAATAATTTAACGACTTTAATTGCTCTGTTGAGTTAATGGCACCGATTCCAACAGAGCAGGTTTGACCCCGGTTTGCAAAGAGGTTAAAAATTAACTACTTGTCTGGCCAGAGCGTTAACCTTGAGGTTATAATGACACGAGAGGAAATAAAACCCGCATTGCTGGGAGCCGGGAGCGGATCCGCGCGGCGCGGCCGGCAGCCGGAGCTCACCTCGCTTCTGCATGAAGCTGAAGAGGTCATCCAGGAATTCCTTCCTCTTGGGGTCGCCATCCAGCTCGTACAGCTGCACAGGGGACAAGGAGAAAGGAAAATCGCTGGGGTGCCCACGCCGGGGTGTTGGGGTGCCCATACCGGGGTGCCCATGCCGGCCCCTCCACACAGCCCAGGGGCATCAAGGAGGTTCTGCATCTCCCGGGGCTGGGGAGCAGCGGCCGCCGAGGCCCCGAGCCTCGGGATCCGCAGAGGCTCCGGGACCCACTTCCCGGCTGCCCGCGCATTCCCAGGACGCCGCTGCCGCCCCGACGCCTCCCCGGGCTCCCAACTGCGGGTGCCGCTGGCCAATGCTGCATGAAGAGCACGGCACAGGCTCTGCAGTGGTGAAAGGAAGGATCCCCCCCGTGCGGGAGCCCCAATTCCTGGGATACCCGGCTGGGGAGGAGCTGGGCTGCCTGTGGACGCGCGGTGCCAAGCAGGGCCCGTGGGGAAGGCGCGAGGCCCTCGGCGCAGCGCGAGCAGCGGGCGCCCGGCCAGGTCGCGCTCTGCC